TCTGAGGTGCTGAGCATCTTCCCTTCTCCTCGGCCGCTGCCGAACTTTGTGAGAGACGAGACCTTGTGTCTTTTGCTCTTCGTCAGATCCCTGTCACTCAGCACAACAATAGCTTCATGGTGAATGAATAAATGCATGGGAATCATCCGGTGCACAGAGATTCAACCTGGAACTGGGGTGGGCCCGCCTTTCTCTCTTCCATACTCTGGCTTTCCCTGAAGACTGCCTGCTGAAGGGCTGGCTTCATGGGTTTGGCAGCTGAGAGCAGGAACTTCCTAACCTCTGCTGTAGCGCTGCACCTCAGACAGCAACCCCTGTGTGCAGGTCGTTCCCGGGGACAGCGACCCAGCACCCAGCCTCGGCTTTGAAAAGGCCCTGCCTCTGGTTCCCATGATGACAGTGTACTTTTCAAAATTTGGATTTTATGTTCTTTTAACCTGATGTTTCAGTTTTTAAAGATATAACAATTTTTATATTAACAAATTTTTTGCGATGAAGAAAGTGAGCATCCCCGAGATTTTGGGGTCTGCCCGCGAGGTCTGTGTCTTTCTGGACACAAAATGACATCAGACAGTTGAAACTGTACAATGTGCCGGAGGAAAGTATTCATGAAGTAATTGAAAATAAGAACTATCATCTGTCCATGGTGAGCTAATTTGTCCACAGTGCTTGCTTCAAAATGTCTCTTTGCAGTGTAATGATGAAATTATACGCCTCCCCTCATTAGAGCTTGGCATCCTATCAGCATTCTGTGTGTGGAGCCCGACAGAGTGGCGACTTCAATGTGAGCTCCCTTCTTCCATGTTAAATGTTATACATATGGTGTTTTTAAAAAGATCCCTTTCCTATATTTATGGAAGGTTGTATAGCGTCCAAGAAAGAGCTCTGAGTAGGAGCTGCAGTGAGCTTGCTGGCCCCATCACTAGCCCCTCTCCCAGGTTGTGGGTAAAGCAGCGCTGTCCTGCTGGCCTGGCATGGCGGTCACAAGAGTCCAGGAAGATGAGATTTGGGGACAGAGTATACAGTTCTTGGATAGTTAAAGTACTCAGCAAATGTGAGGAGTACATTGCTGTTACTATTGTTTATCACACTGTCTTAGTTCCTTCTTGCTGCTATAACAAAATACCACACACTGGATGGCTGATACTCAACAGTATGTACTCGTCACAGCTTGGAGCCTGAGAAGTGCAAAGGTCCAGGGGCTAGGACAACCTGTATCTGTCAAATGCTGGCTTCCTTGTTTATAAGTGGTAGCTGCCTTTTTTGTTGTTTGCTTGAAATTTAAGTCAGCGTTTCACTATGTGACCCAAGCTTTCCTCCAACTTGGGGTCTTCCTGCCTCAGCCTCCTGGTTATGGGGATCACAGATGTGCATTTCCACACCTGGCAAATGCTGCTTTCTTGCTGGATTTTTACTTAGTGAGAAGGAATGAGCCTCCTGGCCAAGGCCTCTTCAGTAAGACCCTAATCATTTCCCAAATTCCCCACCTCCAATACCATCACCTTGGGGAGCAGAGTTCAACTCATTCATTTGAGGGGAGACAGTCATTCAGCTCATGGCAAGATCCCTTCAGGACCCAAAGCAGAAGATGGGAGAGGGGAGGGCGAGGAGGGGACCATCTACAATCTAAAGATGAGAAATAGTAAACTGAGGAAAGATGTCAGGTTTACCCGTGGATGATAGTCCATTTGTGGCGATTAACACAAGCATCAGTGATAGCTGGTGTATGAAACATAAGTAGTTGTCACAATGGCAGCAAAATACACAGATGTTGGATAACATCCAGGGAGTGGTTTAGAACAATGTAGTCTTGTCTAAAGAGAAACGGATGCCAGGCTTGGTGCCACACACCTCAGTTCCAGCACTCGGGGAGGTCAAGGCAGGAGGATCCTACTTCGAGCCCAGTTTGGACAACCAAATAATTTAACAAGACTCCATCTCAAAATAAAATGTAAAAAGGGGGGCCGCGGATAGGAATGCAGGTAAGTGCTAAGGTCCTATGTTCAACCCCCAGTCAGTAACACACACACACACACACACACACACACACACACACACACACAGACACACTGCAAGGGGTTCCCTGGAGTAATATATGACTACATGTATAAGGAGATTTTGGGATGGACACAACCTCAAGCACAAATGGTTCTAGAAACATCACTTAAGCATATAATCAGAAATGGGGTCAAAGCTTGGCACAAACACAAAGTCAAAATCACAAGGAGAAATCACTTTATACCTCTGAGTGTTGGTTGGGGCTGCTCAAAATAATTAAACAGAATTACTGTGTGACTTGGCAATTCCACTTCTAGGTTTGTACCCACAGATTTTAACAGAGACCTGTACTCATATATCCAGTATATTCGGCACTAATAGTCACAGTGGTCAAAAAACTAAAGGAACACAAACACCCACAATGGATGAATGGAAAAGCAAAATATAGTACAGACACCCCACTTGTGGTGTTTTGACTTACACAGTTTTTCGGCTTTGGGATGGTGTGACAGTAATACAGTTAATGGATATTGCATTTTAAAACTTGAAATTCGATCTTTTTCTGAACTAAAAATACCCTGCTGAAGCTGAGTGGCAACAGAGAACATTACGTTGAACAAAAGAAGTAAAAAAGCCACATACTGTATTATTCCACTAAACAAATTCAGTTTCTCACACCAAACTGACTCTCTGGTGTAAGAAACTGAAAGTGTAAATAAGAATAAAGCATATAATAGATACTGTGAAATAGGAAGAAATTGTTCGAAAGGAAAGGAGAAGAAGGGAGGGAGAAGGGAAAAAAGGAAGGGAAAAGGAAAAAATGAGAAAAGACAGATAAAATAGAAATAAAGTTTTGTAAATAAGGGGGGGAAGGGAAAGAGGGGAGGGCAATGGGAAGAAAAAGAATCAAGGTATATCACGTACAGATACAAACTCCCTATGATGACTGTGATCATTACGTATGTCTAAAATGTACCAGTAAACTTAATACAAACATAAGCACATTCGGGAGCAAAGCGTCTCGGGTTAGGGTTGGGAACTAGCTGCCTAGATGCAGTGTTGGCTCCACAGTCACACAGTTCTGAAAATCTCATCGAGCAGCGGAGTCACTGTGCGGTGTGTGTCAGCTCAGAGAACTATGAAGGCTTAAGAATCACGGATGTGGATGTATTCCTATAGGATGGTGCCAAAGGTAAGACAGGGAGAGTGAACACCAAGAAATCTTCCAGAAGTTGAGAAAGATAGGAGGAAAGAAAGGAAGAAGGTAGGAAAGGGGAAGAAGAAAGAAAGAGGAATCAGAGAAGGTAAAGAGAAGAAATTGGTGAAAAATTAAAAATATGCTAAACATGGCAACTTCCAAGAGGAAGAAGCATGAATGAATCTTTTCCCATTTGTGTTTTCTGCATCTACTGTGTTTTCCACAGTAGCATGGATGTTTGTGAAGAGAAAAATACATATACTTTAAAGTGTAAACTGTATGTGAATTTATGAACATAGTCATAGGGTTGAAGGTTTCAAGGAACCAACATTCAATCCTGTGAGCTTTCTTCCTGTACCATACACATCACACTGCAAATCCATTTTGACAAGACAAAGACAGATTTTCAAGGATTTCAGCTGGGCGTAGTGGCGTACACCTGTAATCCCAGCACTAGGGAGGCTGAGGCAGCAGGATTGTTGTGAGTTTGAGACCAGCCCGGGCTACAAAGTGAGCTCAAGGCCAGCCTGAACTGCATAGCAAGACCCTGCTTTAAAAAGACAAAGATTTCATTAATTTTTTCCTAAAGCAGAACTGAAACATAACTTTGAATACAAAACAAGTCTCCTCCAAATGTAAGACCACCCTTTCCTCAAGATCATCCACTTCTCTCTGTTCTGATGGGAAGTCGTGCTTCCCAAATTACCCATCATGGTAAAAATTGTACAGCAGGTGTGACACTCATGTTTTCTAAAGAGGCTGACTAACATTTTGAATAATCTTACCTGCTACTGATGACACCTGAGGTGGTATAATGTATGGTAAGCCACATTTTTAATTTTATTCCACCAAACGATATAAATGCAGCCAGTACTGAAGATATAGTTTAATTATATGAAAAATACAACTGTGGTCTTTATTTTTTAGCTCACTTGCTATGCGTTAGTTGAGACAATGGGACCACTGGGGAGACCAGGAGAGCTCCTCCGGTCCAGGTGGGGTCTGGTGACCTCTGCGGTTGGCTGCAAGCTCTGCGTGGACTGGATGCTCTCACAGGACCTCATACTTTACCTGGGACCCCAGCTGCTCCGCTTGTCTGAGTCCTAGGTAGTCTCCATGCCCCATGAGCTGTGCTCAGCCATGAACAGACACCGCAGCAATCCACCTACCCTCAGAAACAGAGACATGGCTCCAAGGTAGTGCAGTGTCCTTTCTGTCACATTCAACTGGACAAAACAAGTCACAAGGCCACCTAGATTCAAAGGGTGGGGAGAAGGACTCCATCCCTTGACAAAGCCTTCATGATCACTTAAGATTTGCCACAACACACAGGCAAGGGCATCAGCAAACTGCATGTGGTTGACATTCTCGTGAATAACCAAGAAGGTCCGTGTGTATCCAGAGCCAGTGAGAACGTAACAGTGGCTTTGTCTGTGTGAAGAAGGGTGAACAGGAAATGAGAGAGTGCCAGAGAACCGTGTGGACAGATGGAGTGGACTCTGAACAGAAAGGGCTCCCTGCTGCACGGGATTCAGAAGACACAAGAATGTGGCATCTGTATTCCTGCCCCACAGTACTCGGAGTAACTCCCAAAGAGTGGCCTCCAAGACAGCTTGGCCAACTATGAGACAACTGCAAAGGAAATAACATCCTTCAGAAGGAGCAACTTTTCTGCTAAAGAAAGAGGGAATTTGCACAGGAAAATAAGGAGGGCTTTATGAATAATAGACCATGGACCAGGAAACTGGGAAAAGCCAGAATAGGAGACAGGTGATGATTAGTCAAGGAGTACGAAATAACTTACTGGCAGTGGCATTTGAAGATGACAGGGTCAAGAGGCAAGAAGTCAACTTCAAAGCTCTCAGCAGAAATTTGATCAAGGGGCACTTTGGTCTCGGCGTTGTCCCCTGGATTGGAGAACCCCCGTGTCCGCTGCAGGTGTCCCTGAAGGTGTGTGGCTGTGGCCGCCAGATCTAGTGAAGTAAATGAAGGATGTCTGGCCAACTTTGAATCTCATATAAACAGAAAATAATCTTTTAGTATATATTCCATGCAGCCCTGCTTTGCTATTTTTACTAAAACATTGTTATTGTCTGACACACAGATGTAACTGAGGGCACTGCAAAGAAAAGGGAAGGTGTGACTGATCACGGTGACGTTCCTGGTGCCCACTTAGGGTGGAACCAGATTTGGAACTACATCCTTGGACATCCAGCCCAATGCCCTTTTCCCCTCTCTGAATCTCTCCTTCATCACTTCCATCTCTTCTTCCTGCCCATTCAGCTCTCCCGAACCCAAACCCTGGCCCTCTCTTCTTGCCTACTGTTCTCTGAGCCGACCAGGCAACTTGAAATTCACTGTGAAACTAGCACATCTGCTCCAGCAGTTACATCCCCAAGTTTCTGTCTATTGAAGGAGGGCAAAATTGCTCCTCACAGTAAATAGAGGGGATCCTTCTAAAGTCACTTCTTCCGGTGGCAACCACAGTTTGCTATACAAAGAACCAGTTCTGCAAGTCAGGAGTGAAGGTGACACCCGCTAGGAAATATCAAATAAAATATTTAGATGTGCTTCAATTTCATACCCACGGGTTGGTTATGGAAACCCTCAGGGTTGGTGGAAAGGCTGCTTCATTTTATGAGCCGTGAATAAATACCAAATGAAGTACTTAAAATTGCTCTGGAACACACCTCAGTGCAGAACCAATAAGTTAATAAACCTGGATCTGCCAGGAACCGAATTCACAGCTACGCTACAGAAGAGTGGAAGTGCAGGCTCACCTTCCAGGGCAACAAGGCCCAGATCATTTTTCACTGCCAGCCCCTGTTAAAAAATGCATACAGTGCTTACCATGCTTTGCTTAATAGCGATGTTAACGATCTTCATGTCCTTGTCACTCTTTCCTTTCTCATTTGCTTTTGAGGAATTCCGGCTTACAAATAAGAACTGCAGCTGGCTTTTGGCTTATTTAACCAAGGATTCTGAGCGCACCAGGTAGTAATCAGCCGAGTACACTTACCCTGGTGTGGGATAAGGAATTGTATACTCAGCTTCCATTGCTGTTCATAAATTAGTGTTCCTGTGTGCACCATCCTGAAGATGTACCCCGAGGGGCTTTGTTGGGGCTGCGTGTTCCCCTAGCTGGTGGAAGTAGGAATCTCACCAGAAATCTGGAAAAGGCCAATTAAAAGGCAAATCCTGTCGTCCCATTCCAATAATGCTGACCGAAGCAAATGAGCACAAGGAGATCAATGTGAATTATTTTCAATGTTTTGCATAAATGTTGTAAATTTTAAAATCCATTTTAATACTGAGCACACCATAATGTTCCCTGGAGAGTTCTGCTTACCAACCATTTAAAGATGGACCATGCCCGCTGCCCACCTTTACAATTCCAGGTACCTTGGAGAGTGGAGGGTTTTCATCAAGGAGGGTTTGATGGTCAGGACTTGACTATCACAGAACGAAGTTGTAGCATCGTGAAGCTTCTGTCTTTTAGAGCACAAATTAGACACTTGGACCCAGGAAGTAGCAGTCAGACCAGGGTCAAACCCTCAGTAAGACATTTTTGTTTCTCTCTCTGTCTCTGTCTCTCTTTGTGTCTCTGTCTTTGTCTCTGTCTCTGTATCTCTCTCTCTGTCTCTCTCTCTCTCTCAATGCCATGGCCAGGTAGTTACTGATGATATCTGGGGTTTTACCTTAGTGTGAGTCTCCCATATGCATCCCAGAGGCTGTGGAGAATTGACGCATGTTCCACTGGGTGGTTTCCTAGGGTCCGGGTCGAAGGAGACACCATCTGCCCTTCAGTAGCTCAGGTCCGGCTTGAAGGATGCTCCTGGGGCAAAGCATACGATGCTGCCTGGAGTTTAGAGGGTTCTGCAGCAACCTAGGCGCAGGTCACCCAATGCTGGGGTCCGTCTTCTTCCTCTTCCTCCTCCTCCTCTTCTTCACTTCTTTCTAGAAGCACTGAGCTTAATTGTCATGGGAAAATATTTCAATTTTTTTCTTTTGTTTTACTTATGAGAAATATTTCTGGAAAAGTCAGAGACACAAGCTTAGATATCACATGGTTTGTCTTATGCAAGAAACCCAGAGTGAAGATAAGGAGTCAGATGAAAGGCCAGTAATAGGAGGTAGGGAGAAAGATTGTGTCCAAGGGGAAGGGAAAAAGATGGAGGTCGGGCAGAGGAAGGGAAAAAACAAGGTACTCCACACAAAGAAGGTGAGCGTTGAGTGTTACGCATACTCACTAACAAACAAGGAAAGTGAGCGTTGAGTGTTACGCATACTCACTAACAAACGCAACAAGAAATGTGTCGGGGAGGCTGAGGTAGGAAGGTGGCCCGTTTGCACCCATCTGAGCGACTTAGCAAGACCCTGTTTCAAAATCAAAAATAAACTTAAAAAAGATGCCTTTTGCTCCTCTCACCACTTCTCACAGACCCCTGGGCAGGGGAGGCAACCACAGAGCTCCCCTGAGCCTGGAGCTTGGCCCAGACAAGGCAGGTGGGAGGACAGTGTTGCTTGTTTCAGCTGCAGGGGTGAAATGTTATGGTTTTAATGTGATATAACGTTGATAGACGTAATACTGGTTCTTAAGGATTGTTAAACCTGTGTGATGATGTTCGAGTCATGAAAATAAACATGTCTTTTATCTGCAAACTGAAAAAAACAAAAAAAGATCTGGGGATGAAGCTCAGTGGGAAGGCCCTGAGTTCAATCCCCAGTACTGGGGGGGGGAGGGGGCAACTGTTTCTTTTCTTCACAAACAAAGATTTCTTTCTGAAAAAAATGTCTTCGTTAAAACAGCTAGTACTTCAATACAAACCAAATAAAATGAATTTACCGGTGCACACAATAACACACAGTAGACCAATCGACTACTAGCAGGGCCACTTTTTAAAAATGATGTTTTCCTTAAAGATCTTATTAAACAGAAATAAACTCTAGAACAAAAGTGAAACTGTGGTGGAAACTGCACCCTGATGGAGGAAAACAGAGATACCGAGTTCCTGGCGGTGAACTTTGGCTTTAAGGATCTGAAATGTACCGCCAGACTCATGCGCAGTTAGCTTCTCTCTATGTTATCTATTTTATCTTTACTAGAGAATTTGGTGAAGCCTTTGATGATACAAAAACATATGGGATGAATTAAGCGTCATTTTACCAGCCATGTGTGAAGATTTAGATTTGAGATTTTAAAATTTTTTTTAATCCAGCTGACCAATTTTTTTTTTTTAAATCTAACGTCCAAATCATTTTTCATGATTATTAGCCTCTTCTCCACCAATTTGCTTCGCAGCCCAAGACCTCATTCTGACGAACCGACTACTAGCAGGGCTACTTTTTAAAAATGATGTTTTGCTTAAAGATCTGTTTAGGTTTCAACAAAACAAATAAAGTGTATTAGGGGACATGGTGTTTTAGAAACAAAGAAAACAACCAAGATTAGAGGGAAGTTAACTGTTCCCCAGGGAGAAGCCCTGGTGGTTAAAACTGTTTCATCAACAACAATACAGAAATTGTTTCAGTGGTGTTTTGAACACCTTGTTCTTGCAAAAATAATACCAGTGATCGCAAAACACGAAGACTGCGGTGCAGGCTGTGTGTTCGGACGCTGACGTGTAGGGCACCCAGTAGTCAGAAGGTCGGTTAAAGTCTGCAGCGCAGGGCCGGGAAACCGCGGCGTGACTTCATACTGGATGGAGTGTTTCCGCGGCACCAGCCCCACCGTGGAGAACAATGGGAATTATTCAGAATCTGGAGACACAACTCCTTTCTAGGACGGAGCTCTCGGGCAAAAGCCATCTCCTAAAGCTTACTTAACAGCGGCTGGAAATAAAGCACACGGAAGCAAAGCTGAAGTCTTGTATTTATACAGGCGCAGCCTGTGCCTGCGGGGCTTGTCCCTGCCTTCCCTTCCCTTGTAAAATACAGCGCTCTTTTCTCTCCGTTCCGATTTTCCATGCCTTGGTGGGAAAACTCCCCGAAACGTAGCAGGGGCGACTGTCCTGCTCGCGTACTACAGTCTGCGGCAGCCTTTCCCGGTCTGTAAATTTAAAAATAAAACTGCAGCCCTTATCCCGGCTGGATCGGCCTGGAGCAACTCCAAGATCGTCAGGGCAGCCGACTCGGCCCGCAGGCCTTGGAGGACAGACAGACAGACAGACAGACAGAGGACAGGCGGGAGGCGGGGCAGGGTTTGCACGTCTCCTCCGCCTTCGTGTGCAAGGACTGGTGTCCCGCGTGCACCGCCTCGGCCTGCGCCGGTCACAGTGCCATGTCAGGGCACAGTCCTTTGGTAAAACTTGCCGTTATTTATGCACAAGGAAGGAAAACCTTGTCTATTAAATTCATTAGAATGCGGCCTGAACGGGAGTATTTTTTGATCAGCGAGAGCAGAAGTCCCGGGCGCGGAAAGGCGGGCGGGAGGGCGGGCGCGGAGGCCGCAGACAGAGCCGCATTGTTCGCCCGGGCCTGCGAGCCCTTTGTGCCCGCCCGCGCCGAGCGGGGCCCCCTGGATTTCCGCAGAATACAGTTTCAGAGCATCTGCATTCAGGGCCAGAGTCACGGCCCTGGAACCGATAATTGCCTCTGACAGGATTTAATTACCTTCTCCAGGACCTTTTCTCTGTTTGATTGGAGACCACCCCCTGCCTCGGATCAAACCGACAGTAATAACACGCTGGCGCGCCGGCCAATCGGAGCCGGGCTGCGCGTACCGCGGGCGCGCTGATTGGCGGTGTCGGGCCGTCACCCTGTCACCCTGCCGCCCAGTCACCCTGTCGCCCTGTCGCCGCGTCGGGCCGTCCGCGGGACGGGACGGGCGGCCTGAGCACCGCCGGGCAGCGGCCTGCAGGGAGCGAAGCCGAGCCCCCGCACGAGGCTGCAATGCGCGGGGCACCGCGCGCACCTGCAGCTGGGGTTCTGCTCGTGCCCAAGGTGCAGTTGGCAGGCGACCCAAAGAGTGGCAGACACGGCACATGCTGCGACAGGGTAGCTTGCGTGGAAAGAACACGCCCTAGGAAGAGCTGGATGAACTGGAGCTGGGGGCTCTTGCCGGGTGCAAGCTGCAGGACTTTCTAAAATGTTTCACTGCAGGACTGGGATGCGGGCATTTAAAATGCACCAGTCAACGCTGCTTTGATATTAACCCGACCTAGCAGTCGCTGTATTATTTATGACCGCTTTAGCCCGGGATATAAGCCTACCCATAATCTTAACCCAGAGTGATACATTCATTACAGGCCCAACCTTTATGTACACACAGTTTTGAGATAGTTCATAGTAATGCATTATTCAAAAAAAGGGTTTATCAGACTTAAAACTTCTTAACCTCTATTTCTTTCGAAAAGGTGCTTTCCCTCAGAAAAACAACCCCGAACCCTCGGCGAGTTCCAATATGTACGGAGTTGGCCGCAAAATGGTAATAAACTGAGATTCGGAAGAGGAGGGGAGTGTATTACCAGATCTGTACTAACTTAGAATTTAATGAATTCATTACATGCGCCTATAAATAATCTTTCTGATAGTGTTTATTTTGTTTCTCACTCACCTACATCTCTACAAGTGTAGCAACAAAGGTGACAAATATATTTGGAGTTATATTAGAATTTTTCCTAATTTAGGGACTAAGCTTCAGTTAACTTTGGTAGAAATTAAAGGAATGAGCGTGATACACAGCATTTTTCATAAATTTTTTAAGCACAGCGGCCTAATTTAACTTCTCTCAAAATGAAAGGACGGAGGACTCAAACCCAGTGAAATATCACTTTTAAAAATAATGTCAGCTGACTCAAATTTCAGGCAAGTTTCTGCCACTTCTCTACATGTATACATTTTCTGAGCATTTTTCTCCTTCACCAGGAAACTGTACCTTTGCGGAAGTTGAGTCAGTGTTTTTGACTGCCATTGTGTTCTTACACACCCCTCCATGGACTCACACAGACCCTCCAGGCTGCCTGCGAGTCTTCCGCCTCATCATCGTGGAATTCAGAAGAGAGTTTCACGTGTGGGTGAACCCTATTTTTGCACCAGATCAAAATGTATAGTAGACTTGTTAAGCTGAGATCATTATTTTGACTTTTCAGAGAGCTATCTGAAGCAACCTACAGAAATGTACAGCCATCCGAGAAGACTGCTTATTTTCAGAGCCCCGTGATTAGAAGGAGTCTCTTAGAGAAAGATGTATTTTACCCAGGAAATGAGAAGCTTCGGAGTCTGACTCCAGCCCCACCATTGACAACCTGTCCATTCTGGATCACGACTCGCTGTCCTTGTGGGTATTGGTTTTCTCAGCCGTAAAAGGCAGTTAGCATGAGGTTGCCAAAAGCATGGAAAGTCTTCAGACCGCACGAGAACAGAGTCATTTGCGCTCGGGGACGCTCTCCCGGTGGGGGTTTCCTAGCGCATCTGTTCCATCAGCCACAAGAGTCCTGCGTCCTATCTCTACACATCATACGTGTTTTTTTTCTTTTCTGTGCTGGGAATTGAGCCCAGGATCTTCACACTGAGCTACACCCATGGCTTTAATTTTAATTTTGAAACAGGTGTTAACTAAATTGTCCACACTGATCTTGCTCTTGTGATTCTCCTGCCTCAGCCTCCCAGAGTGCTAGGATCATAGATAGGCACCACCAACCCACCTCTGCTAAGTCTTAGTCCTAGATTCTGTCTTACCCTGCTTTTTGCCGCTTGGAACTCACGAACTGTACTTAAATATAATTGCTGATCTTTCACTGCAGTAGTTTTAAAGAGCTACCCTGGTGTAGCCTGTGACAAATACTAATTTTTACAGACTGGGAAAAATAAACAAACCTAAGCTCTGTGCGGTCATCTTCCCTATGAATTATTGATCACTTCTGGCTACTGTCCCCAAGTCTAGAGCTTGCAAAACTGTTACAGTAAGGATAGCTATTTTAAAAGTATTAAAGAGAGCAAAACAGTCAGATCCGTGTGCATCCCACACTCAGCAGGCCTTGATGCCATGGAGCAGGGAGTCGATCGCGTTTTATTTCAGCGGAGGACCCAATGCTTTCCAGGGACAATGGGTGCCGGTTGTGCAGCGAGGGCAGACCTTCCTTCTCCTCTCTGTTCTCGTGTCTTCAGCCGGCTCAGACTCTCGCTGCCTCCCCAGACAGGGCAGGAAAGAAGCCAATACCAGGCCTGCTTTTTTCCTCCAGTAACCAGGCAGGTGAATAATTAATGCCCATCTGACTCCACCTAATTAAACGCACGTTCATCAGTTCTGTTGATTTGAATGCGCCTTCTTATAGAGAAAATAGCCTTTGCTTATCGGCGCAGTTTAGATTTCCGAAATGAACATTTTTAGAATTAGAGAGATTCTATCTGGGTTCCGAAAGCCTTCTGTGCATGTGCGTGTGTGTGTGCATATGCATGTGTGTGCTGCTCATTAGAAATAAATGGCAAAGCCTTATGAATTTTTCTAAGTGGAAGAGAGAATGTTAAGCCATTACTGGTTGAGATTCATGTAAACCTAATAGTCAAGCCTCCTGTAATCCTTGATTATGCCCTGCATTTTCCTAAGGAGATGAAAAAATAAAGATTTTTGCTCATTTGAAAATTGAATATACGCACAAAACGAGAGTGGGGTAGAATGCACGCACCGAACGCTGGGTGACATCTTGGTTGCTGTTCAGCACGGCCCTGCATAATCAGAGCTGCACACAGATCGGTTCCAGTTGCAAATCCAATCACTCGTTGACCGAGGCTTGGA